CGAGGGTATCAGATTTTGGAGTCCCTGGTGTCTGGAAACCAGAGAATAAAAACTAAATCCGTTAAGAGCATGCCTGTCCTCAGTGCATTTCTCTTGGATAGCCAGACGCCCCCTTTGACTGTAGTACCCCTGAAGGTATGGTTCCAGGAGGCCTCAGAGATCGTAGTTCCTTTTATTGGGGAGGGTGTCAGGTAATCTTTTGATGGGTGGGGAGGGGTAATCCTTCAGGTATCTCTGGGGCTGTGAACAATTGTGCCTAAAAGGTGCATAAGCTCCTCTGAACTATACAACCTGTCAAGTGTAAACAAGCGTTGGCTTAACAGTAAGTGCTAACTTGCCAAGACATGCTAAATAGTGTTGGCCTGTCAAAAACTGGGAAGTACATGCAGCAAGAGAGCATCACAATAAAGCAGACTGGGACAGCAGACCTGGATGGCAGGTTCTCCCTCCGAGTGAAAGGCAATGGCAGGGGGAAATAAAAACTCAAGGACAGAGAGCCCCTTCAACCTGTTTTTACCTGTCGGGGCTGAGGTGTGATGTCAGAGGAAAACCTCCTAGGTGATTGGGTGTTTCTTCTTTGTCTCTCTTTTGATTGGCCATATGGTAACGGGGCAAGTGAAAGAGTAAGCATTGAATCTAGAGCAATCATACAAAGCAAGAAACTTTATCATCACCTGCTATCTCAGTGGAACAGTATACCTTCTGTCCAGTGAGGACATGAAATGTGCAGAGCTGAATAAAGTATGCTTTCCAAATGCATGTGTAAAATTCATGAACTATTAACAAAAACCTAAATTGGAGAAATTCAGCTGGTCTGGCAACATCTGTGCAAAGAAAGCAGAGGTAATGTTTGGTCGTCTTGAGAACTGAATGTAGCCAGCAGAAGTTGGTATATATGCTGAAGACAAGTGATGGGGTGGGTAACGGAGTAAGCAGTAGGTGGAGTGGGAGTCCAGAGGGAGAGAAAAACAGTTAGTATTTATGATTTTTAAGTTCCTTTTCCCATCAAATAAACGCTGAACATCGTTACTTATTTCCAGTAGTTCTTTCTTTAACACATTTTGAAGAATGGCACTGGAAACAATAAAGGCACACCATGCTACACTGACTGTGCAAAATCTTCCTTGATCGTACCTGAGGACTTCTTTTGAAATTGGGAGAGCTTTTTCTTAGAACAGTCAAGGAAGGAACAGCAACGGTTCTACCAGCAGAACAGACTGAGCAGTGGTGCTCAGATGTGACAGTGCGATGCTGTGAGTTTTCAACCTTGGCTCCAGCCTCTAATAAGTCACCTGGCATCAGGTCAAGTGCAAGCGAGGAATCCTGTAGCTGACTACCAGATACCAACCTCCCTTGGCTGATTAATCTTTGTCCCTCCATGTTGTATGTTATTTGGAAGCAGCAGCATCCTGCTTAGTTGTTAGCGTAAAATAGTCCTTTTCTGCTTCTGTACAGCAGCATTATCTTTGTCTCTGCTTTTCAAGAAACAGCTGCTATTTTTTCTGAGATGCTGCAAAGGTGTTAATGCTGACATTTGCGATGTCAATAGGTTTCTTTTGAGTTTCTATCTTTGTTGGCATTTTGATCCCATAGTGGTGTTGAGCTGGGTATTTATTGTGACTTGACCCATCCCTATTTTTAGAATACTTTGTCTTACCTCAAGGCAAAGGGAGTATTAAAAAAAATTGACTTATTACTATCATGTGTACCAAGGCAAAGTGAAAAGTGTTCTCTTGCATGCTTTATAGGCAGATCATACTGTACAAGCACATCAGGATAAGAGAACAGAGTGCAGGATACAGTATTACAGCTGCAGAAAAGTTGCAGTGAGAGATCAATATTAACATTTAAGAGGTCCATTCAAAGGTCTGATAACACTGGGAAAGAAGCTGTTATTGAATCTGTTCGTATGTGCGTTCAGGTTTTATATCCTCTGCCCAATGGAAGAGGGTTGAAGAAAGTTCTGATGAAGGGTCACCGGACCCTCCACAGATGCTGCCAGACCTGCTGAGCTTTTCCAGCAACTTTGTTTTTGTTCCTGATTTACAGCATCTGCAGTTCTTTTGGTTTTTATTTTGAAGAAAGTCTAACTGGGGCGCAAGGGGTCTTTGATTTTGGTTGCCTTCCCGATGCAGCAGGAAGTATAGTTGAAGTCTGTGGATGGGAAGCTGTGATGGACTGGGCTGTGTTCATGACTTTCTGTAGTTTCTTGTGGTCTTGAGAAGACCCATGTCAGGCTGTGATGGATCCAGACCGGAATCTTTCTATGGTGCAACTATAAAAATTTGTAAGTGTCTTTATGAGCATGCTGAATTTCCTTAGTCTCCTGAGGAAGTAGAGTTGTTGGTGTGCTTTCTTGACCATAGTATCAACATGGGCGGACCAGAACCGATCATTGCTGATTGTCACTCCCAGGAACTTGACCCTCTTGACCATTTCCACATCAGTACCACTGATGCAGACAGAGGTGTGTCATCCATCCCGCTTCCTGAAGTCAATGACCAGCTCCTTTGTCTTGCCAATGCAAAATCAACTGACCATGGTAATGCATTTAAGGGGAAAACCAGACAAGCATAAGAAAATAGAGAGTTGTGATGGTAGATTTAAATTTGGAAAGATGGGAACAGGCTCACATGGAGTATAAACATTGGCATGGATGAGTTAGGTGAATGCTTTCTTTCTGTACTGTGTAGTCCTTTGTATCTTCAGCTAAAAGTTGTTGATCCATCTTGGCCTCCCCGTGAGGTCTCCAGCATCAAATATTGCCAGTCTTCAGCCAATTTAATTCACTGCAGTTTGTTTTAAGAAATGTCTGAATGTGCTGGATACTATTTTTAAAAAAAAAAAAAAAAAAAAAAAATTGCTCTCACAGGATTCTTGCTGAGAAATAAAGATAGACTAGTTCTACAGCACAACTCCCAGCCAGGCTTCTCCAGTAGGATCACAATACTAGCATCTACCCAAGCATGCCCTGTCTCCAAAAGCAGGGTAAATTCATTGCTTTCAGTTACAACCCCATCATTCTGCTCTCAATTATCAGCAAAATGATGGAGGTTGTTGCCCACAGTGCTATCAAGTGACACGAATACCAGGAATAACCTGGTTACTGATGTTCAGGTTGAATTCCCCTAGGGATGCTAGGCTTCTGACTCATTAGAGACTTGGCTGAAATTTAGTCTAAAAAGCTGAGTTTGAGAGTTCAGTTGGAAGTAACTGCCCTGGAAATCAAGGTAGCGTTTAGAGTCGTATAGTCATAGAAATGTACAACATGGAAACAGATCCTTTGGTCCAACTCGGCCATGCCAACTAGGTTTCCTGAATAAATCTAGACCCATTTGCCAGCTTTTGGTCCATGTCCCTCTGAACCCTTCCTGTTCACACATGCATCCAGATGCCTTTTAAATGTTGTAATTGTACCAGCCTCCACCACTTCCTCTGGCAGCTCATTTCTCACATTCACCACCCTCTGCATGAAAAAGTTGCCCCTTAGGTCCCTTTAAAATCTTTCCCTCTCACCTTAAACCAATAGCTTCTAGTTTTGGACTTCCCCCATCCCAGGGAAAAGACCTTGTCTATTTACCCTATCCATGCCGCTCTTGATTTTATAAACCTTTATAAGGTCACTCCTCAGCCTCTGATGCTCCAGGGAAAATATCCCCAGCCTATTCAGCTTCTCCGTCTCTCTCTCCCTGTGGTATCAAGAAGCCCGAATAAAATTCAGTCGCTGAAGTTAAAGGAGATATGTCCCCACTGAATGGAGTTATAGTGAGCATAAAGGAAGATGATTATGGTTTTTTTTCGGAGGCCTGTTTTCAGAACCTCGGGACATTGCTGCCGGTGTTCCTCATAGGAAGTGGAACTGTTTACTGATGATTGCAGAATTCAGTACAATTCCCAACTTCTCAGATATTGACACAGGAACAACTTGCATGAGAAAAGACTTGCACAGCATTCAGGTTTGCAATCAGTAAGTAATGTTTGCTCCACACACATCGATAATGACCATTTTTAACAAGAGAGGAGCCAACCATCTCACCTTAATATTCAATGGTCTTACCGTTGCTGGGGTTATCTTTCAGCAGAAATTCAAATGGACCAACCACTTAAAATAAAAACATGAAGTGCTGCAGAGTCACAGTGGGTCTATCAGCATCTGTGGAGAGAGAACCAAGCTAATCTTTTGTGTCCAATATGACTTTAAATACAAGGGCACATTAGAGGCTGGGAATTCTATGGCTAGTATCTGACTCTCCAAAGCCATGTGTTCCACAAGGCACAATCGGGGAGTGTGATGGAGTATGCCCAATTTCCTGGATGAGTGCAGAAACTGTAGCACAATCAAAGAATAAGCAGCTCAAAAGAATGGCACCCTATCTATGACCGGTGTATTTTGGCAGCCATGTGCTCTATCCACACCATGCAAAGGAACCACACACTGAGACTCCTTTGACGTAACCTTTCAAACCTGCACCCCTATCACTGAGGAGAAAAAGCACTGGCCACGTGACATATAAGAATATAAAGTTTGCCTCAAAGTCCCATGCCATCTTGACTTGGAATTGTATCATCTTTCCTTAATGATTAATTGGTCAACATCCTGTAATTCCCTACTTAATAGTAATGTGAATGCATTTATACCACATAGATTGCAGTGGTGACTCACCGTGGTCTAAAATTGGCGTCACATTCTGTGAATGGATTAATTTTTTAAAAAAAAATGAAGTCAACATGACAACATTACAAGTACTGTTTCTGTATAGAGTCTTAGAGTTATCTGGTCATTTTTTCTCTTACTTATAATCCCAAATGAAGTAAATTTTAAATTTTCATTGGGTTGATATATAGTTATTTATTACGAGGATGATTTTTACGTTGACACAAATTCATTTGCAGTGTGGGTGTTTTTTGGGTTTAAGAAACAACATAGTGAAAAAATTAAACTGTTTATTTCCTAATAAGAGTTTTGTATTATTCTGAATGGTTCCACTCACTGTACCTAGACTGCAGAGACATCCTTCTACCAATGATGACTGAACAACTAAAGTATCATTTGGAGAAACAAGAGGAATTGAAGGCATGCTGCCATCTGCTTAGCAACATTTTGGAAGTACTCTACAGGAAAGATGTGGTTTGTAGTTTTATCCTGTTTGTCACTTAACTTTTTATTGGATGTTTCAATATGGATTTTTAAATGCTAAAATACAGTATTACTGTTTAAATTTATTTGTTTCACATATCGTTAGACTTTTTGTCTGTTGTGCTCGTTGTCTGACTGCTATAATTATTAATAGAAGCAGTCAGTTTTCTTTGTTCTCATTACTTATGCATTTCTCCATTTTAATTGCTTATTTTCTTCATATGCAGAATCTGTCATGCCAAAGTTTATTAATTGCATTCCTCAGAAAAGAGTTCTATCACATTAATTTTATCAAGCAAAAGTCCCCAAAGCTGTTATTGCAGCAACATGTAGACAGCAGTCATCAGAGAATAGCAACACAGGAACATGCTCAATACTTTCCTTCGACTTCTCCTTCAAGCAGTCATTGGTCTCTTTGCTTGCTCCTACTTTTTAGGCAGTCTCTTCAGGATCAAGGATGGCCTACTTCCACTCAGCTTGATTGAGTTCTGTGATGTCCAGTGCTTTGTAGACTGTCGCATGCAGGATGGTTAGTGTTTGAAGGTTGGGTAAATGAGTTGCATTTGCACGTCCTCCAGTCTTTGACTTCTACTCTACTCATACCTGATGAAGTCTGCCCAGAGTCCAGTGCCTTTTCACATGAGCTTTTGTAGTTTAGATCTATCACAATCCAAGATCTCCAATGAATTGAAGGATATTTGACTGTTGAACAAGTTGTTGTGCTGAGAGAGCTGGTTGGAAGATGACTTTAGTTTTCTGGGTCACAAAAACAAATTAATGGAAAAGCTCAACAGGTCTGGCAGCATCTGTGGAGAGAAATTAGTGTTAATGTTTCAGGTTGAGTGACCCTTCCTCAGAACTGTTCTTTTCCAGCAATTTCAATTTGTATTTCTGATTTTCAGCATCCACAGTTCAATACGTTTTTATTTAATTTTCTGGGTGTTTTGTGAAAGACCGGTTTCCTCGTATGCCTCAAAGAAGGAGTCGACAATGACCTGGACTGATACAATCATTGCTTGCAAACCAAAGCTGTATGGTTGAGATGAGAGTGGGGAATTTAGCTTTTTAAATGAATGTGGTGAAGTTTGAAATGGAATCACACTTTTATTACTGTGTAGAAGGAGATCATTCGGCTGATCATGTCTGCATCAGCTGTAAACGAACACCATCATTTAATGCTATTCACCTTGTTTTCTCCATAACTTTACACACTTTTTCTATTCAAATAATCATCTAGCGCCCTCATAATTTCTTCAGTCGAAACTGCAACGCCATACTTCCAAACAGTGCAATCCAGACCTGAACTGCTTTTTATGTGAAGGTTTTTTTCTCACATCACACTACATTTGTAAATCACTTGAAATTTGTGTCATCTTATTCATGGTTCTGTGACAAGTGGGAACAGTTTTTCCCAATCTGCTTTATCTGGGTTTTTCATGATTTTGAAAATTTCTATCAGATTTCCTCTTAGCTGCCTTCTCTCCAAGGATAACAGTCTGAACTTCTTCCATCTATCCTCATAACGGAAGTTTGTCATTCCTCGAATTGTTTTTGTAAATCTCTTCTGCACCCTCTCTGGTGTGTTCATATCCTTCCTATTAGTGTTGTGCCCAGATGTTTTTACAGTGTATAAAATTGGCTTGAAGGTAGGAAATAGAGGGTGGTGGTGGAGGGTTGTTTTTCAGATTGGAGGCCTATGACCAGCCGTGTGCCATAAGCATCAGTGCTGGGTCCCCACTGTTTTTTGTTATTTATATAAATGATTTGGATGTGAATATAGGAGGCTAATAAGTTTGCAGGTAACACCAAAATTGGAGATGTAGTGGACACCCAAGAAAAATTACCTCCGAGTTCAACGGGACCTTGATCAGATGGGTCGATGGCAGATGGAGTTTAATCTAGTTAAATGTGAAGTGCTACATTTCGGTAGGGCAAATCGGGGCAGGACTTATACACTTAATGGTAAAGTCCTGCCGAACAAAGAGACCTTGGAGTGCAGGTTCATAGTTCTTTGAAAGTGGAGTTGCAGGTAAACAGGATAGTGAAGAAGGCATTTGTACGCTTGCCTTTATTGGTCATTGCAATGAGTATAGCAGTTGGGAGGTTATGTTCAGTTGTACAGGACATTGATTAGGCCACTTTTAGAATACAGGGGGTTCTGCTATAACGCAGTATTTGTGTTCCAACACAACATGGTGTTACAGAAAATCGTGCTCTATAAATAACTGGGCCTATGTGAAAAACAGGGCTAGGGGCAGACCACCAAAAAAGTGTAACACAAAGGATAGTCCTACTGTCAGCAGCTGTTCAGAGTGGTTGGACCAACTGTGTCAGCGGCTTCGCAGCTCCTTCTTGGATTGACACAATTGTCCTCACTATTTCGACAAAATGCAGGACAGTTACCCAGGTGCCCTGGTCAGTACTTATCCCTTAGTCAGCAACACAATGACATTGTCTGACATTGTCATTGTCCCACAATCACATTGTTGCTTGTGGGAGAGTGTTGTGTGAAAATTAGCTGCTGTATTTTCTACATTGATTGCACTTCAAAAATACTTCAATGACAGTCAAGCTCTTTGTAACATCCTGAGGTTGTGAATGTTGTCAGTCTTTGTAAGCGAGAAGATTCAAGTCCTGCCTTAGAACTCAATGGCTAGGGAAGGCCATTGTGACTAAAAAGATAGAGTATCAACCGGCACATCCTTACAATACTCCCAGTAGCAGACTGTAAGATTGGGAGCGGTTGTTGGTCAGCTGTGTGACTAAAAGAACATGAGAAATTGTACTGCCACTATTCAGATTGCGACCTATACATGTGTATGTTGCCATGGCAACTCAGACTCCTTCAGCGATCTTATCATCACATCACAAGGGGTATGGAGCAAGGGTGGGAAAATCAAGTTGAAACATAAGTCAACCATGATCTGTCTAATTACTTAAATAGGCTGCTGGAACCTTCTGTTGTACCTAGGTCCTGTGCCTCTCCATGTTTTCTTTAAAGGTAAGTTAGATATACCGTTTTTCACTCTCCCGTACGCCCTAATTTTCCTGACAACAGACCTGCTGGCTTCTTACTTTTCAGTTTTAATGAAAGCTGACAAGGAGAATTTCTCTGGGCCTCTCAGAATCACAGCACTGTACAAATACGTTCTAGGTATCATTAGCAAAGGGCTCCTGACAGGAAGATGCTAACTCGATGGAATAGAGTTGTAGCCAAATGTGTTGCCGGAACACGTTAAAGCAGAACCCCCGTACTGTGTTCAACTCTGGTCACCCTTCCAGAGGAAAGATGTTGTGAAACTTGAAAAGATTACAAGGATGTTGCCAGGTTTGAGCCATAGTGAGAGGCTGAATAGGCTGGTGCTATTTTTGCTTGATTGTCAGAAGCTGAGGGGTGACTTTATAGAAGTTTATAAATTCATGAGGGGCATGGATAGGGTGAATAGATAAGGCCTTTTCCCCAGGGTGGGGGAGTACAAAACTAGAGGGCATATGTTTAAGAGAGGAAAGATTTAAATTTGACCTAAAGGGCAAACTTTTCAAGCAGAGGGTGGTGTGTGTATGGAATGAACTGCTAGAGGAAGTGGTGGAGGCTAGTACAATTACAACATTTAAAAGACATCTCTTTGGCTCTATGAATAGGTAGGTATGGGCATGATGCTGGCAAATGGAACCGGATTAATTTAGGAAATCTGGTCAGCATGAATAAGTTGGACTGAAGAGTCAGTGTCAAAGAGACGTACAGCACGGAAACAATGAATATACTCCAAGTGAAGTCTATCGAATGTCTTGCAGATGTTCAGCATAACCTTGCATTTGTACTCTCTACCATTATTAATAAAGCCTGGATTAATGCATGTGAAATAACTCCACAGAGGCTGTTATTCCCGTCACCAAGTCATCCTTTATTTACATGTGCATAGTACTTGACATTGGTCCGGCTTCCTCAGCTCTTAGTGAACAGAACCTCTGACACTCTTGTTTATATCTGTCAGCCAGGGCTCCTTGATTGGGCCAGGTTAGCAGCCCAGTCAGGGAACTTGTATCCACCTGCCTGACCATGTTATAATCACTACATCTCTTTTCCCCCCTCAAAGTCTGGGGACATAAGGTCTGTTCTTTTTATAATAGCCTGTCCTGAGGGCTTTTGCACTGGGTCGAGTTCCTGTGACTCAGTCTCGGATATGAGCAGCGTGTACTGGGAAGTAGCCTGCCTCTCATGCCTGCAGTCTCTCAGAAGAAATACATTGTCTTCTTCAGGCAGTAAAGGTGTCGAGACTGTGATATCTGCTGTGTGCACCTCAGCCTCTGAGGTTTCTTCGATCCTATGTGGAGGGGGAGAGCCCCTGGACTCTGACAGCCTTTATGGCTGCTCTGTGGGGCTGGGTATGTTTGCTCCTGCCTCATTTGCGAGTTTGCAGCTTTCATGTGGTCCACATACTTGTTCAGGACTGGTTCACCCGCCTAAACTTTGTATTTTATGGGACCTGATCTCAGTTGACTATGGCTGTTACCCATACAAGGCCGTTCCGTGGTTTCGGCACCAAACTTTGTTCCCTGAAGTAAACTATCTCTCTCACATAACAGAGTCTTGTGTCAGGCATTGGCATTCCTGATGATGTTTCAATCCCCTTTCCGCAGAGGTCTGGGAAGAACTGATTTAACCTGGTGCAGAGTCTCCTTTCCATTAGCAGCTCTGCTGGAGTTGTCCCTATCATTGCATGAGGGATGGTCTGATAATCAAATAGGAACCAGGACAATTTGGTATTGAGTCAAGATGTAGGCTGTTTCTTTCACCTTACCTTCAAAGTTTGGACTGCTTTTTCCACCAGACCATTGGATGATGGATGGTACAGAGCTGTCCTATTTGCCAAATGTCATTCGACTATAGGAAATAATCAAATTCCCTGCTGGTAAATGATGGTCTGTTGCCTCTGACCAATGCTTCCAGGCCCCTGTATTGCTAAAGATGCTTGCAGCTTTTCTAACCT